CCAAAAAAATACAACCAAAAAAAGTATGCTCATCCTTCTTCTGCTCTTTCTTTCTCCATCTCTCTTGCTCATTCACATATGCAGGCATACACACACACATTCACGCATACACACACACACACACACACACACACACACACACACACACACACAAATAGGCATACACACAATCTCACTCACTTCCCTCACATCTGTCTTCTTCCTTTAACATAAAAATTGTTCCCTTACATTACCCTATTTCCATTGTTTAATGGATTTTAGCTGCAAATATAGCTTTGGTCCGCTGATTTCAAAACAAGATGTATACATGTATCACTCAAGCAAGAAATTTGTGTAGGTCAATGTCAGTGAAATGTGTTATACACATTATTTGTATACATATAGGTCAAGCCCATACGGCAATTAAGTATGTACAGGTTATTTATAGCTGATATTTATCAGTGCATCTAAGAGACAAAAGCAGAAGAGTTAGGAAAATCATATGCCAGGAGTCAAAGAACTAACAAACATGAGCTTTTAATCAAAAGTTTCAAAACAGCATTGGGGAGCCTGTTTGAAGAGATTGCCAATAACTCGTAGTACCTATTTTTCCACCTAGAGTTTGGTCTTGTTTCATCCAATTTCTTCATTAACACGGATTGTCGTAAAAATACCAAAGACTGGAAGTGCTGCTTATGACGTAGTCTCATCCGTATGAGTCAGTTCCATTGTATCATAGTTCAGGGGGGTTTTAGTCAGCCTAGTGTGATTCCTATGTAGGTCAAGGCCAGGGTTATGTAGGCTTGGATCCTGCGGAGACCTTGCTTTGAAGACATCGTGCCAGTTTCTGAAGACCAAACTTACTGTGGATGGAGAGACCAAAAAAATGGACACGTGTGACCTTTTGCATACATTTATGTACATCTTTTTGCATAATCATGTTTAACATTTTGCATATACTCGTATATACCTTTCTGAGTTCTCTTGTCTACTGTTTGGTTATTTTGGTTGTTGGTAAGTATTTTACTGTGCTCGCAACTATATAAGGTCATGCGCACGCAAGACACAGATAACATTTTCAGTGGTATACTTTTTGGCATATTCATGAAATATTTTTTACACGCCCATGTGCACTTCTTATGAAATTCATGTCTTCCTGTTGGATGCTCCTGTATATTTTCAACCACATTCAAGAAAACCAACCATGGAGGAGATAATAATTTAGAAATCATAAAGGCCAGTTAGATATTTAGCACATGAGGAGGGGGAGACAGACAGAAACAGAGAGAGAGAGAGAAAAAGAGAGAGAGAAAGAGAGAGAGAGAGACAGAGAGAGAGAGAGAGAGAGAGAGACAGAGACAGAGACAGAGATAGACAGAGAGACAGACAGAGAGACAGAAAGACCAACAGACAGACGGACGGACAGAGAGATGGAGAGAAAGAGACAGGGGTTCTGGCGGGAGGTGATACACCGTGGGAAAGTGGGCTGGGTCACCAACTTCTAGACTTGGTTCAACGACCTAATCCAAGACACAAGTTTCGGCCCCCATCTTGACTTCTTTCTCTGACCCAGTTCTGTAGTTGTTTTTTTTATGTTGTTTTTGTCTAAGATAAACTTCTCATTCCAAATCTCAATTCACTGTCTCAATCTTCTTTCAGGAGTTGCTATGCCATCCATATCTCTGATTAGATCTTGACATGCTTTTTCCTACGTGAGTGTGAGTATTTTTTAGTTTTAATACGAGTTTTAAAATGTGGCATCAGTAGTCTAGTGGTTAGGTTACCGGACTCGTAATGTTGCGGGTTTGGGGGTTCAAGCCTCAGGTCAGGCGTTATGTCCTTGAGAAAGACAGTTTACACAAATTTTCCTCACTTCACCCAGGTGGGAATGGGTACCTGGCAATAGACTGCGAAAGATCTCATCAGTATATTAGTGTTTTAGCACCTATAAATGGCAGCTTGCACTGTATGCTTCACAGAAAGTTGAGATTTGTTTCAGCATGCTATCAGGTCTGATGGGGTAAAAATATAGATTGTAAAGCACATAGAGCTAACTGTTGAGCAGATATTTTCTCTGTACAAAGGCTATCTGTTTTATTATTATTACTATTTTACCGCACTCAGAACACAAATAGGTCATATAAGTGCTGAACATTAGAGGTGTTTCTAGAGAGTAACATACAAAAAAAAAGAAGGAAGAGAGATAAAAATGATAGATGCAGGATAGGGCAAGAGGAGGAAACACCACCACAGCACCAGCCAGCCACCCACAGAGTGTGAGCGTAGTAGAAGTAAATAGTCTATCTCTACTGATACGTGGTTACAATCTCAATCAACGTCCTAATTCTCCAGTGATTTAAATGTTGATAACCCAGTGATATACATCTTCTCTTTCTTCTTCTAGTTCATCTTTAAATGGACACCTCAGTCTCTTGTGTGAAGGCTGCTGTTTTGCCACAGGTCCTCCAGGCTCCTGTAGAGATGTGTGTCTCCCTGCATACCGTAGCACCAATATTTCCCTGTGTAAGTGCTTTAACTCCTTATCTCCGGCAAGTTGCTTGAAGCAGATGTGCCCCTGGGCCACTGGCAGCAGATCAGGCACATTTGAAATCAAATTACTTTTCGTCAATTGACGAAAGCAGGCCTCTTTTACGAGGAGTTTGTTCATTATATGAAGCATTATCATTATCAAAAAAGGATCACTCGTTTTGATATAATTTCCCAATTTAGTGGTGTTTTCGTCAGTTTCAGATTTGGTACCACAAAAATGGGCCCTGGGGTCGTGGATTTACCCTGCTCAGAGATAAAGAATTAATCACTGTGAAGGCCTGCAATATCTTGCTAAATCTCTCTCTGTACCATCAGGTACATACGGTGGAGAGCAGTTTGAAACCACGTTTATCTGTCCCTGGCCACTTCCTCTAACCACAGCATGTCCAGGCCCTGGGTGATTGCCTCATACCTGGTAGTGCTTCTCTAACTTCCAGAAAGTCTACCTCTTCTTCTTCTCCCATTTAGTCTTCAGTGCTTCTGATTTGTGTATGATGGTACTAAACGTGCCGCAAAATTGTCTTTGGTCTGCTAATGACTGGACATATCCCTACCTTAAAATTACAAAGTGCTACCTGAATTTTTGGCTATTTTGAGATACTAAGGCCATGAGGCCAGAAACCGAATGTTCTATCTGATGGGGCAATCTTGTCTCTGGCACTCTCCTTGTTAATAGGTAGAATGATCTAAATCATCGTAAAGGGCATTGGTGCCCAGCACTAGGGCACACATATGTGAAATCACACACAAAAATAAGAGACCCACCTGGCCACCTTCCGACCGTGGTGGTGCAGTAACATCTCACACAAGATGTCCGACCCCTCGGCAGCACTTTCCACAAGGGAGAGAAGCGATTCCATTAGCCTCTGGATGCCCTCCGGGTAACTGTGCAGATCTGCATCTCCTGTTATTAAAAAAGCGATAGATAAGACAAGTTAAGATTAGATAAGATAAGATAAGATAAGATAAGATAAGATAAGATAAGATGACACTTTACTGTCCCACTGGGAAATATGACTCGGCTGTACAGGAACGGTAAAACACAAGTAGATACACATTGAATTTAATTTATATATTATACATGTGTTTTTACAAGTCCAGTACAATTAAGACAAAAATTTGAGTCCAATTGCTTTATACACTTGTTCAAACTAATTTCTTTCAGCAGTACTACATCAAATCTCGTTAAATGGCTTTAAAAATATAGCTTTAGCTCACCTACCATGACTCATTGCAGGAAAAAAAACGCGTCTGCATCTAAATAAATTGAGCAGCTAGCATAATATTTAGTTTAAGTAATAGTTTTATTTTGAATGGCACTTGTTATACAAATAGGTCATATAAGTTTGAAGATCAGAGGTTTTGACAGAGAGTAAAATACATAGAAAAGAAGCAGGACAGATAAGGATAATTCAATAGACGTTTGATAAGAAAGAAGGAACAAGGAAAATACCGAAAACGTCCCTGCAAATTGATCAAGTCTGTTTCAAAACAATGTATCGTAAAATCTATTTATAGATCAGCGTTTTTAAGACTGGAGGTCAACTTTGACGCATGAAGAGATGTAGCAACAATTCTAAAATTCTAGAAAACAAAGGAGGTAGAGAGACGAAACAAGGCGTTACAAAAAAATCTAACTGGTAAAATAGCATATTCATTTTACCACAGTCAGAGTGAACAAGCCACTTCTTTAGTTTGAGTAAGAGTTTTATAATTTGGCCATATAAATGCTGAAGATGAGAGGTGTTACTAGAGAGTAAAATACATAGTAAAGAAGGAGGAGAGATAAGGACAATAGATGTTTGATAGGAAAGAAGGAGCGAATTATATCCGAGCATCCGCCAATCACCCACAGAACCACTTCTAGTCCATTGGGATCAAAACAAATTTAATGAAGTGATACACTTATTAGAGAATATTGTGACAACAGGAAAGTTTGATGGAAAGAGAGGCAGAGGCAGACAGAGGGAAAAGATACTGGACAAGATGACAACATGGCTGGGAGCAGCAAGAACAACAGACACCATTGCTGCATTGAAAGACAGATGGAAGTGGAGGTCCATGATCACCCACGCCAGTCGGCAAGGCACCGGATGATGATGACACTTAAAAAGTAATAGCCCTCACCGTCAGACTCAGCGAGGAATGTAAGAAACTCTGGGATCATCAGTGACTTGACAAAAGCATCTTGAAGGTCCTCAACATCACGTATCAAAGTGCAGAGACCTGTAAAGAAACAACCAGACTTATTTTAAAAATTGTGAAAGAGAATGTTTTACGCCCCCAATCGACAATTTATATTAATCATGATGCGGGCTGATTTGACCATGCCTGTCCAGCCCACCCAGACTGAGAGGGATACAACATCCCAGCACATAGACGGTTGGTGATACCTGGTTTTTTAAAAAAAATCCACCTCAAATGGCATTCAAACTTATATCATGCTTATAATATATCATATAACTATGAATTTTCAACTGTAAGTTTACACTGCCCCGTTCTATATAGTCATAATATCTGTTTTGTAGAACAACGTTGCTTCAACAACTAGCAACACACAACAGATCTTAGTTCAAAAATGGCGCACATATTCGACAAAGCTTGAAGAATTGCTGTTTTGGAGTTTTTCGTTATTTGTGTTGATTTTCTAAAATCTACCTACTTCATCTGAAACCTAAAAAATATAGACAACATGCAATCTATGGAATATGAAAATATACGTGCTTTCAATTTAATGTATGGTGGTTCTAAATGTGCCGCAACATTGCCTTGGGTCTGCTAATATATCGTCACTGCGCTAGCGGCAAAATGGCACATCTAATTTTTTTGCTACTTTTGAGATAAAGGGAAGAAAACTGTTTAACTAGTTATCATTTAATAATAATAAAACTTGCCCTATACGTTTCTTTCCTTTGTGACTACCAGCGCATTTTTGTTTTGATTTTACCAAAAGATAGATATAATAATACAGAACAAAATAAAAATCTAGTTGCATTTTGGAACAACTCTGAGTCATGCCATTTCGCTAGCCCTGTGGCAATAATGTGTCAGCTGCCCTGTAAGGACGTGGAACTAGTCAGAAATATGTCGGTCAGGACAAACAGTGTTTTAGTGTTACTAAGTGTTTTGTTTAGTTTTAGTGGAAGTTTCACAGCCCTCGCAACTGCATAAGGTCATATGAGCGCCAGAAGATTAGAGCTGTTACAAGAGAGAAACAAACATAAAAAAGAAGAAGGGGAGATAAGGATGATAGATGTTTGACAGGAAAGAAGAAGCAAAAAAAAACCAGAGCACCCGCCAACCTCCCACTTACTAAGTGTTTACCGCACTTGCAACCAAATAAGGTCATAATATAGTGTAAAGCGCATAGAGCCTGCTGTTGAGCGGGAATATGCGCTATACAAAATATCTATTATTATTATTATTAAGTGCTGAAGATTAAAGTGTTACAAGAGAGTACCAAACACAAAAAAGAAGGAGGAGAGGGATGATAGATGTTTGACAGGAAAGAAGAAGCAAACCACACCAGAGCACTTGCCAACCACCCACAATACAATGTTTTAATCGATGTTTTTCCAGAGGCCAAAGTTCACACAGAATAACACCAAAACGGCAGTCAAAATATGATACAACATTGTGAAATCTTGAAAACCCCAAAAAGGAGACCACAGACATTGGGCAAGACGGTGTACTGCAATAGAGAATCACTACTGAAAACCATGGGCCAGAATTAGAAAGTTAAGAAAAATAGCTGGGTTGACATTTCTTGACTAAAAATCATAAAGAATCTCAAAGCACACCTTAGACACTCCCTACAAAAAAAATCCCAACGGAACAAAAGAAAACTCACTACACACACAAAAACAAACACTATGCACTTGCACAGATCAAAACCTCCTCCTCCTCCTCCTGCCCCCCCCTCCTCTCCCTCCCTCCCCCTCTCCCTCTCTCTTACATACACACGCACCCACACACATACTAACCCCAAAACACAAACATATACATTTTTCAGCAAGCCGCTCAAATGTAAGCCAAGAAAGTAGGATTTTCCAGGAGATAGAAAAAACTATGTCCTTCTTTTAACAATTTTTCCCACTTTAAGTATATTTTCTTGCCTTTTTCAACATTTGCCATTTGAATTTTGACAAATTATTTCTTGAGAACACACAACCGACACCACAAATTAAGAAACTGTGATAAAAAGAGTTTTCAAAATTTTGGGATTAGTACAATAGTACATGTGAACAGCTGGCCAACGATGCATTCTTCTCTCTCTCTCTCTCTCCAAAGGTCTAGAGTTCCTCTTTCTCTGTCTACGTTTTTTTTCTTCTCAAACCAGCTATTCTATATCAAAGTAAAATGTCCCAGCATCAGAACTATAGATATGAGAAGGGAGGAATGGCAAGACAACAACACCAATAACACACAGACTCTGTAAGGGGGTTCTTGTGGTCTAGAGGTTAAGGGTGTTCGCCTTTCATTCAACAAGTCTCGGGTTCGAAACCCCACTGTGAAAAAAAAATTTTCTTCTCTAATATGTTCTCCTTTCACCTCCTTTCCTGCTCTCATACCATGTTCTGTCATCTGCTTTCATCTCCACTTTCTGCCCCCTGCCTCTGAGTTCTTGATGCTTTCTGTTGCCTTTCTACTGCTTCTCCCTGGCTCCCTCTTACTGCTGTCTTTCAGCCACACCCCTGATCTTAGGGTAGGTAAGATCTATCACCTAGCCTTCTCGGACAAGGGCGAAAAATCCCGGAGGTCCCGTGTGCAAGTTGCACACTTAAAAGATCCCTTAGTGGTCCTAAAATAGATAAGAGTAGGCTCCAGCTGCCACCCGGGCAAAATTCAAAATAAATTCCTACTAAACTGATCATGCTTAATGTGTCCCTTGCGCTTATGACCGTATGCAGTTGCCAGCACCGTAAAACACTTACCAAACAAACAAACAAACAGACTCGGAGAAGCACACTGACCTGCCACAGTGCCGCACCACGCGTCCTCTATGAGCGGCCACATGTCTCGGCTCTCGCGTACGATCTGCAGCACCAACGCCTGTTGTCGCCTACTTTGGCGGATTGCGTAGAAAGAGGCTAGGTACTCCACGACAGCACGGAAAAATCTGGATTGTGAATGCTTCAGTCTTGACAGAGAGGAATTTCCTGTTCGGAAAAAAAAAAGTAAGAAAAGACATGTGTTACAAAAATTGTGTTTATATTTTGGAGACATTTTGTATACAGTATAACACAGACAGCTCAAACTAGTCGGGACCAGCGTCGGTAGTTCGAGGGATACTTTACAAAGATAAAAGAAGAAGAAAATACAGGACTGCAGGTACATATCGAAGGATATGTGATTTCAAGTCTTCTGTGTTCAACCTATCCATGTTATACTGTAGACTGATGGTCTAAGACAGAGGTTCTCAACTTTTTGCAACTTAACACCCATATCTGACAGCACAAAAATTTCTGAGAGTCTCCTTCCATGTAGGAGGAACAAAACACCCACACTCGGACCCTGGTCAAAACCCAACCCAAAAACCCCACTGGAAGATGATGGCGTACATTACCAAAACATGAACTCAATTAAAAAATACAAGTAAAATAATCTACATTTTTATTGATCCCAGAAGGGGAATTTGGTTTACAGTAGCAAACATGCATACATACATACATGCACACACACACATACAAAAATACAAACACATATATAGATACATAAATACACAATATTACACCAATACAGAACAATTTCACAACCTTGTCATTGCCGGTTGCCACTGTGCACGCCCTGTTTAGGGTTGTCGTGTCTTGCTCAAGGACACATCCTAGTAACCACCCACTTAAACCCTGTGTCACCAATACTTGCCAGACATTACTTGAATCTGAACTCGCCAGAGGTAGTGAGGCACATACTAGGGCCTGGTGACTACAGTCGCCAACGGTACTGCAAGGGTTAAACCAAAGAAAGAAAAAATTGTTCAACTCACGTTTCTGTCCCCTCATCTGCAGCCGGTACGCGACAAGTGTCACTTCGATGAGCTTCAGGCACACCAGGGCTGGCGGGTGGGATAAACCCACTGAAACAACACACAATGAAGATGTCACTGAGGTTTGTATATGCATTAAAAATCATCATCATTTAAAACACATTTTTTATTTAAGTTTCGGAATGAATTTTACTGCACTTGCAACATAACTAGGTCATATTAGTGTCGAAAATTAGAGGTGTTACTGGAAAGTAACATACAAAGAAGAAAAGAGTAGAGAAGAAAACAGATGAGATAAGGGCAATAGAAGCTGGATAGGAAAGAAGAAGCATACCCCACAAGAGAACCTGCCAACCATCCACTTCACATACTGTTAAAGGATTGAACTGAAACATAGTAGCATAATATTTAATCTCATCTCGCTGTCAGAATCTTTTCATATTGCTCTCAGCTGACGATAGCCTTAATAAAAGTTTAAACATGCAAACAGAAAGCAATGTGGTAACATTAAAACATTACGACATTTATTTCTTTTGGACTGGCTCTAAATAGTAAACCAACTTACTCAGGATGGAAAGGGAGGCATTTAACTCAGTGTTCAAGGACACTGTCCCACATCACATAAAAAACACACATTTTACAGAAGAGACTTTTCTGTTAGTTTTTTTTTTATAGTAGAGGGTTTAACGGCGCCCGCAACTGCATAAGGTCATATGAGCGCCAAGAGGTGGGTGTCAACAGAGAAGTCTTTACAAGGAATCAGACTTAGACTGCTCACCTCTCTAGCTTCAACAGCACAAGGTCTGCTTCAACTATCAAGGCACCCTGGAAATAGCAGGTCACAAGAGAGTGACAAACAAACAAAAGAAGTAGAGGAAAATGACATTAGTAAGGATCAGGAAAGAAAAAGCAGCAGTTCCCTGTAGTAGATCAGGCACAGATATGAGCATGACATGAATCAGCCCATTTACACTTCTACTATGCTTGAACGAGAAATGTCCCCCCTTTGGGAATGGCCTAAAGACACTACGGTCAGTGGCACTGCCCCGGGGGGTGACTTTTCTGTGAAACAGCATAAATTATCAATGACACACATATCAGCAACATAACTTACTCAGCTTGGGCAGTTAGGTATTTTATACAGTGTCAGTAACTTAACTTACCCATCCCCCCTCACCCCACCCCCACCAGGGCAGTGCTACTGACGGAAGTTGTCTTTAGGCCATTCCCAAAGACGGGATATTAACATGTTTTTGAGCACAGTAGAATTGTAAATGAGCTGATTCATCAATGTCATGCTCATACTGTGGCGGAACAACATAGGGGGGAACTGTGGCCTTTTTCTTTTCTCATCCTTACTATGGTCATTTTTCCTATACTTCTTTTGTATGTTTGTCACTCTCTTGTGAACTGCTATTTCCAGGGTGCCTCTATAGTCGAAGCGGACTTTGCGCTGTTGAGGCTAGAAAGGTGAGCAGAGTAAGCCTGATTCCGCGTTTGGACTTCTCTTTGACATCCACCCCTTGGCGCTCATATGACCTTATGTAGTTGCGAGCATCGTAAAACCTTACTATAACTAAACTAACTTACCCAGGTTGGGAACTGACAAGACAGAAATCTCAAACAGATTCTGAAAGCAGTCAAGCCTGGCAGCCGTGGCTGGTGCGTTGCTGTAGACTTGCTCCAACACACCCAGCGCGTTACGTGTTGTGCTCTGGGAAGGAAGGAACCAAGTTTTCGTTACAGAAAAAAAGGAAAGGAAGAAGAAGAAAAAAAACCCAAACCCCCACTGTGCAGTCAAAACTGTCCAATATGAACACCCATTGTCCAGGAAGAAAGAGTTTGTCTTAGACAGGTGAATGTCTGGGATAGTGTCATTATTATATAGAACACAATGCAAGGGGGAAGTCGGAAGTGGTCATTTGTACAGGTGATGGTCTTGGGCAGATGGCAGTTACAGCATGTTGGACTACATAGTTATAAACTGTAAATTACAGTTGTGTGTAAAACATAATGCACACACATTAAATAATCTACAGGGTAGAGCAAGTCAGAAAATGCTTAATATCAGACAAAAGTTTATCACACCGTAGCTGTTTTACAGGCACAACATTGTTGATTGCCGGAGTGTAAAGCGAAGTTTTATGAGCTAAGGTCATCTTGTCAAGTAGCAAAAATGACAGGATGAGTGGAAAATGTGTAGATTTGGCAGTGTCATCTCATGTAGTATTCGATAATATTTTGTATAAAGGTTGTAAAGGGGTGAAGGCAATAGAGGTTAATAAGGCGATTGCACCCTAGAAGATGCTAGTGTCAGAGTGTGTAGGGACAAAATCGATGTTCCACATGCTGTGACATCACCCTGTGTCTTGTCAGGTGATCAGTAGTCCCCTTTGTTAGACAGTAAATAATAAAAATAATAATAATAATAATATAATAATAATAATATGTAACATTTATATAGCGCATTTCCAAAAAAAAGTAGCTCAATGCGCTTTACATTGGAATACCCATTTTCGAAATTGAAATCTTTCTTACAACTTCCTTTCTTCTCATGCAATATATATTTATGCACACACACACACACACACACACACAATAAAATTAATGTTAACAGCTTATGAAGAACAGGCCTGAAGGAACAGAAAATTCTTAAGATGTCTTTTGAAGCTACCAAGTGATCTTGTTTGTCTTAGTTCCATGGGTAATCTGTTCCATATAAATGGACCAAGATAAATAAAATTAACACTGCAACCCATTCCAACTGAAAAACCCCCAAATAATTTGGCAAGTAAGAAAAGAAACAGGGAAACATACTGGCTGAGACAATTAACATTCTGAACAGCCTGATGCTGACAAGTGTACACAAAACAATACACGATGCTCACCTCGGGAAAGACTGTACTTTTGCTTTCCAGAAATTGCGATAGCGACTTCTCGATGAAATTCACAACTGTCTGGAAAGCGTCGCACTTGACCATGATCTGCAGCACCTCCTCGTGCTCCAACAGGAATGCGTAGGTTGGCAACAGAAAGCCTAGGACGTCATCAGCATTCGGGTGCCAATGTGGAGACACCTCAGAATTTTCCTCAGAGCCTCGTTTCTTTTTGGCTTTACCGATAAACGACAGCTGTCTTTGGTTAAGCAGAGCGGGTTTTAATTTCGCTGCCCTCAGAGTCTCTCGATAAACATTGAACTTTTCAAGACATTCAGCATCGAGTTCGACATTTACGACCTGTTGCGATCGCTTCTTTTTTCTTTGACCACTCGTTTCTTTTTGTGACCCATCACCGCTATTATGACCAGGATCATCGTTTACATCGCACTCCACATCTCCATTCAATAAGTGATGAGAATGGTCTGTTGTAGGCTTCACATTTACAGACTCCGAATTTTCTTGCTTTTCTGAGCTGTGAGAGAGGCTCAGCTGCTTAAAACCATCCTTCACATCAAGTGAATCAAAGGCACTCCCACCAGAATGCGAGGCGTCACCACTATTCTCACACTTAGATTTTTTTTCTGAGGCAGTTCTTGATGAAGACTTTTTCTCCCCTGAAGACACCATGGCCTCTGCTCGGGTCTTTTCCGCCTCCTCCTTCCCTCCATCTCTCTCTTCCTCTTCTTCCTCCTCCACCTCCTCCAACACTTCATTGATGACATTCATTCCCATCATCTTGATGTTGGCTAAAGCAGCTTGTGTTGCATTCTTCACTTCCATCTTCACATCGTCAGAATAGTCCACATTTTGACTGAAAATAAACAGGAGAAAGTAAATACCAACCAAGAAGCATTGTTTTCACAATGGGACACAAACAGCTTACAAAGTATTTTTTCTAAGTCTGTTGTGCTCGGGTCAAAAGCACATGTTAAAAACAGTCACACTTCCACATTGTAGTAGGTCATAGACATAGGTTTTTAGGTTTTTGTTTAGTTCAAGCAAGAGTTTTACGGCACTAGCAACACAAAATGGCCATTCAAGTTACTAGGCAGTAACATATAAAGAAAAGGAGGAGAGATAAGGACCACAGATGATTGATAGGAAAGAAGGAGCAAACCACACCAAAGCACCCGCCAACCATCCACTCAGACACAGTTATAGCAAAAGGTTGATGGCAATAGAAAAGATCCTCCTTAGTCTAGCTACGTCCTTCAGTTCATCCAGCTTCAGCAGGGTACTTGGCAATTAACAAATGTGGAACAAACACAAATGACAGGAGAACGTGTCCAACTGGGCATTAGCATTGAAAGGATAGAATTGACAAACGAAATTATTTGGAATGCCTGTGGTGAAAATAACTGTAGTCATTAGCACCTTCTCCTTCGAGGGGCAAGGGGGGCAGGGGGGGTAACAAAACTATAAAAAATTGCTACAACTTTTAACTAAACCATGTCCAAAAATAAAACGAAATATGCCATCAACTCATTTGATATCACATTACGAAACAAGGAGAATGACACTCGTTCGAACTCTCTATATAACTTAGCATTTTTTTATTATGGATGTTAAGGGGAGTTTTCTATGATCTCTATCTACTTGACTTGGTCCGTACCCCAAATGAGCATGAAGAGGTCCCGCATAGGGAGCAATCTCGAATGTCTTTAACAATTTATTGCCCCCTCATCTTGCCGGTTGGAGTTGTTTACCGCCCAGTTTCTTTGGATTTTCCCCCAAATATGATGGCAAAGTGTTAAAAGGATGTAAAAAATTATCATAAAACTATTTTATAAGATTGTCAGCAAAATCTGGCTGCAAGAATTCAACTTGTGCACAATAACAGCAAAACGCTCAGCGTAAAGATAACCCAGTGAGGATAAATGGGACACAAACTGACCAGAGAAGGTTGAAGAAGGGCAGCAACTCCAGCAGCTGTGGTGTGGGATCCTCGGTGATCTCTGTCAACATGGCCGCCAGAGTCCTCACTGACAGAAGAACCACCACATGATTCCTCGGCTGGGGACAGCAACAACGGTTGTTGTAGGCAAAAAGTAAAGACAATTTACTCTTATTTTGGGTAGCACAGGTTCAAACCATACACACACACACATGTACATCTATGCCCACACATACACACACACATATATACACTCACATGAACACCGACACACACATACACACACACATGTACATCCACGCCCACACATACACACACACATATATACACTCACATGAAGACCGACACACACAGATGTATGTATTCATTCATAATCAAGAGGCTCTGACAATTTTAGGACCTGTGACCTCAGAACATATCCCATACAAGAGCCATTGTAACACATAGTATATCATTCTATTTAACAGAAATGTAACAAACTTAGTGCAATTTCAAGAAACAAGACAGTCCGTCATGATGGCAGAGGAGGCTTTCCTGTATATCATCATGAGAACTGCTCTCACAGAACAAATAAAAGACTACCCCCCCTTCCTCCTCCACCCCCTCTCCCTCCTCCTCCACCCCTTCCCCCATCAACCACTGACCAGTTCCACCTCCTGATTGGCCACGCTGAACAAAAACTCCATCAGCGTCTGGCTGATGTCCACCAGCTTCCTGTACACAGCGATGATGGAGTCTGTGTCAGCACTGTCCTCATCATTCTCCGCCACAAACTGCACCACGTCGCAGATCAGCTTGTACACTTTGTCCATGGTAGGGTAACGCTCCATCGCCTGCAAGGTAAAAGAGCGAATCTTGAAGAACTAGATCATAATCAACAGCATGAAACCAACTTGCTACACAGTATTTGATCCACAGCACTAAACACAAGAGTTATTGCATTTAAAAAGAGCATGCTGGCTCCAACATACATACACAATACTCAAATACTAACAAACAAGTAAATAAACACAATCATACAAGCAAACACACAATTATACAACTCTCACACCAAGTTACATGCAAATGAACCTACTCCAACAATTCAATTACAAAGAACCAAACACACACACACACACACACACACACACACACACATACACATACAAACACGCAGACTCAGACACACACACACACACACACATACACATACAAACACGCAGACTCAGACACACACACACACACACACACACACAGATACAAACATACACACACAGACTCAGACACATACACACACACACAGATACAAACACACACATACACAAACTCAGACACATACACACACACACACACACACACAAAGACTCAAACATACACACACAAAGACTCAGACACAGACTCGGACACACACACACACACAGACTTAGACAAAGACACACCCACACACGCACAAACAAATAAACACACACACACATGCACACAAATACACAAACACTCACACACACACAAAACAAACACACACACACACAAAAACACATGCAGTCACTCACATTATCCAGGCTGATCCCATTCAACAACATGTACGTTTCCACGGACAGCCGTGACATACACACACACACACACACAAACACACAAAGACTCAAGACACACACACACACACACACCAAGACTCAGACACACACACACACACAAACATCCACACACACAGACTTAGACAAAGACACACACATACACGCACAAACAAACAAACACACACACTCACATTCTCCAGGCTGATCCCGTCCAACAACATGTACGTTTCCACCGACAGCCGGGCCACCACAGTCCGCAGCAAGGTCGAGTCTCCGGTCACGTCTGCTCGGAGCACACCGGCGCCAACCGCACTGACGAGCGCACAGGCCAGGAGGAGGAGGATTTCGCTCTGTTCCGGATCTGAGAGTGACAAGGAAGAGAATAAGCAAACCTAGCATTTACATCACCTGTTTCAATATTATGAATGCGTGAAAACAAACATCCGTTTTGCAACTCAGTGAAGAGGTGAAAAATAGGAGCAACTACTTATTACATAAACCAGAGCCACAAGTGCCCATGGTAACTGAATGCTATTAATTAGATATCTCCTTCTTCTTCTTCAGGTGTCAGATCTGGAGTAGACATTGAAGATCATGGTACCCGACTACTTCCTGCCGTCTGTCTTCTTGACTTCTTTGTTTGTGAATGATCAGAGTCAAACTGAGCTTAAAAGCAACCTCAATTAAAATTCCAACAACTTGTTCAACCCAAAATACACAGCTACCTTAAAAAGCATCATTGTGCATATCTGGCATACTTAATTTATGAGTAGCTAAAATTCTGGGAAGTGTTTTCCTATCTGTCTGTCACCTATGGCACACATCTGCAATCTTCACAACGCATTCATGGAGTATAAAACACAGTTGACAAACTTTTTCTGCCAGAGAGGCTTATTCTTACTTACTGAGTTTCAAGACCATCAGTTTCTTCACACACTGCGTTATCTTGACAACCCAAGCCACTGACTCATCTGCCTCCATCTGGAACAAGAAAGTGAATAAAACAGTGAGTCAAAAGACATTGAAGACTTTGTGTCGTGACACTTTCAACGAGACAATAACCCTCGCACTATGTGGGAGCCATCAAATTGAAATCAGGCTCTTGTCAAATAATGAAATCAAGGAAACAGGCATTTTTCCGCCAGTTTGGCAATTTTCATTGAATTTTTGTTTTAGACTCAACATCTTTCATGACTATATAACAACACATTTCCATGTTAATTTTAATTTTACAGAAAAGTGTTGATTAAAGGCACAAGATATTTACATTTTTAGTTTCCAAAGACTCTCAAGCTACTGAAGTTACAAAACTTTGGCGGCCATTGACTTGCTAATTTTACCTCTGAAAACAGTCGACCCCCACCTCGTTCAATCGAAAATATCTCAAATTCTATTCAAGGTAAATGGGTATTTTTTTTGCCTCAAAAGCAAGGCAAACGAACAAGCTGTCAGATGATACCAATAACTCTACACGCCCAGGTTAAAAATTGACGAGCACCAGATTCCACCACGTCGTGATGCATGTAATATATTATACATCTACAGTCGATCCTGCTCTAATGGCTACCCGTCTGAGACAATCAACTGTGCATACGACCACTTCCCACTTTGCACTTTTTTCTACATTATAATGTCACTGTCCAAGACATTCACTGGCCTAGGACAGTAGAACTTGTTGACAGCCACAATTTTTCAAGACTGCTCGGTAACCAGTTCTGTGGTTTGAAAAGGAGAGCACTTTGATCACTTGAGTAAGGTAGATACTTCCTTGAATATCTGTCTTCTTAGGAGAATAAATCACACACAATGCCCCATTTCTAAAGGATCTCCTCCGTGTAAAAAAAAAGTTCAAAGTATTTCAAAGAGAACACAACAGAAATTTTGTACATGTTTTATTTTAGAATTGCCTAGAACACTCACAAAAAAAAAGGTTTGGCGAAGACATTTAAAGCTTTTAATGCAAAAAGTACTAACATTTCTGGGCTGTAAAAAACAGATTTTCTAATGAACAGCTAGCAAAACTTTCGTTACGCTCACTAATAAAGCACGGACTTGATCACACAATAAACAAAGTTCTTTACCAAGCTCATGCCGCTGAGCAGAGAAGTGATAATCTTGGCATAACTGGACTTTTCTCGCAGGTCCTGAAAGACGAAAATTTGATCTAATTAGAATGTGTGAGATTGAAAAATCATGATCAATGATAAACATTTGGAAGACATTGAGAAAGACAATAGTATGAAATAAAGCACGAAGGAAATGACTTCTCACCCTTCAACAACCACCCAAGTCATCTCCGAGTGGACGAGATTGGAGCGGAGACAACAAAGAACTCACAGTTCTACAGATGGACACAGAGACAACCCAGAAAATGGGAGGAATGGGGTTGGGGGTTAGAGTGAGAGGAGGGCGGGAGGGGAAGGGGAGAACAAGGGGGTAAGAGACAGATTCATTCGTTTTTTTTGGGTGAAAATATAGATATTACACACAAAAAACTTTTTTAAACAGCCCCACAATAATTTCACATAAGTATAAAAAGAAACAAGAAAAAATCAAAATAAAAGAAAATAGAAACTCAAGAATACCCCCCTTTTCCATTCTAGAAAAAATAGTAGAATAAAATATTCCTCATGACTTTACTTTATAAAATCCTTTCCTTTGCATTAACTGTTATAATATACATATAATACATGTATTCCAACACACATTTGTCTGATAATAAACCACTATCTCAACACAGCAGAAAAAGGGAGCCCAAGACTTCACAAACATTATCATCCATTGCAGTGAAACATTGCTTTAAAAAAAAAGGTTACTAAATTTTAAAAGGCACACCATTACAATGTCTCCTCTGATGTGACAGGTGGACAGTAACAGGAAACTTACATTGGTCTGAACCAGGCTGTCCACGGCGAGAGACATGATGCTGTGGAACTTTTCTGACTTGCCCAAGAACACACCGTCTCCTCGGCTTTTGACTACAGAACTTAAGCTGGACAGAACAGAGACTTTTTTCTGACCTGGAAGTAAAAGCAAAAATTATATCTTAGGTAATATTTAACTGACAATAAGTGAGATGCTAAAGTAGGACCTTATGGATACAGAAAAAAAGACACAGACAAAGGTCTATCATTTGTGTAGAAAAACAGTTACAACCCATGGGCATCTAGTAAGGGAAAGACTCCATAGCATTTTTTTTTTCAATGACTTTTGATAGCAACAAACAAAAAAAAAGAATCCCCCCCCCCCCCCAAAAAAAAAACCCGACAAAAAAATCCCCCAACAAACAAACAAACCATGACGGTAAATCCTTCACTTAATCAACCTGTTGCAGGTTCTCCTCTGCTGTCAGCATTTTAAATCTTTTTAACTGAAGAAAGTTTTTCTAGGAGGTCAACATCTGACGACATCAGAGCTTTCCCCTCTTACACCCCCCCCCCCCCCCCCAAACAATTATATTTTCACTGACCATCACACAAACAATACTTGGGGGCTCTCGTGGCCTAGAGGTTAAGGTGTTGGCCTCTCATTCAAAGGTCCCGGGTTCGAATCCGGGTAGCGACCAAAAAATTTTCTTCTCTAAAATTGTCTCCTTTCACCTCCTTTCCTGCTCTCTAGCAATGTTCTGTTGTCTGCTTTCATTTCCACTTTCTGTCCCCACCCCCTCACCTCCTTTGCCCCCTCCTCTGGGCTCCTGACTCTTTCTGCAGCCTTTCTACTGCTACTCCTTGGCTCCTCCTTACTGCTGTCTTTCTGCCATACCCCTGATCTTCTGGTAGGAAAGATCTACACCTAGCCTTCTCGGACAAGGGCGAAAAATCTCGGAGGGCCCGTGTGCAAGTTGCGCACGTTAAAGATCCCTTGGTGGTCTAAAATCGATAAGAGTAGGCTTCGGCCGCCATCCGGGCAAAATTCAAAATTTCCTACCAACTGAAAATATTAGGTGTGTCCCGCGCGCTCATATGACCTATGCAGTTGCGAGCGCCGTAAAACGCTTTACAAAAACAAACAAAACAATACTTGGACCCATATGAAAAAAACCAACCAAACAAAGGCCCAAATAAAAACAAAAAAACATGGCACTTACAAACGGGGGACTCCACTAAGTCCAACAACAGAGGAACTGTGCCTCCCTGTGTAAGGAGGTCGATGCCTTTCTCGTGCTGAGCGAAGTGGGAGATGAAGTCGATGCAATCCTCACACATCTGTATTTGTAGGGAGTCTCGGCTCTTGTCATCAGATTTCCTCTCACTGAAGGGTAGAATCGAGATAAAAAAATTTTAAACAGCAAGAATAACATTACTGAGCTAAGGTGGAACATTTCACTTTCCTCATATATTAACTCTCAATCTACAAAGTATACTTCCATTTTTTTCATACATATAAGCATATAGCACCCACTTCTCGTAATGTATGCCTTTGGCACTCGATATGGGCATGAAAAAAATCCCCAGAATATCATAGCACATTCAGACATACACTTTGACAGACACATTATACAAAACCAAAGTTACTGTCCAAGCTAGTACACATTCTTCGAAGATCTTGTATGCCTTTCATAGTCCCATTATTCCTGGATTGCACTTTGGTGTATCTCTCCTTTGGACACACCAAGGAAGTCATGATCAGAAGGGAAGGGAGAGAAGTAGTTCTTGGACAATCTACTCCTTCTATGTCTACCACCCAGGCAAAGCAGTGATCATGCATAGTGCTTTATTTATCATCGATGTAATTGATGGGCAGCCGAAGGTAAAGATAGTAAAGACACAAAAGAAAGTTACATTGCTTCCTTTCACTCAGAGGGAAGCTTAAATTTCAATTTCTTCATTATACATTTCTGGTAGCAGTGTACGATGTTACTATAATATTGCTACGTGAAAAAAGCACAATGACATAAACAAAAACAAATTACTTCATAGAAGAAGAGATGACACCATTCACTTCTGGAAGGATCTCTTTCATTTCCGGAAGAACTGCCTGAAAAAAAAAAGACAAAAGAGAAAGTCAGAAAAGAGACATGCTCATCACACTATAATAATGTTTAATTAATTGTGAGGCGTTTCCATAACAAAAAGAAGCGTCACAGGATCAGAGAATATTTCTAAAATTAATGCACCCTGAGAAAAAACAACAACCCAGAAATAAATGTGACGCCCCCGTTCAAAAATAAAATAACTCCACTCTACTTTCAAAGAAAGAAAAGGCGTATTACCTTTCGCATGTATAAAATTGTTTGATTTTGGTTATATATTATAATATGAAGCCATCAAAAGAGAAAAATAAAATTACACATTCCCATACAGCATAATAATAATAATAATAATAATAATAATAATAATAATAATAATTTTAAAAATAACAAAAATGATAATAATAAAAATAATAATAATAATAATTTATTTTTTTTAATGATAATAATAATAATAATAATAACAACAACAAAAATGATAATAATAATAATAATAATAATAATAATAATAATAATAACAATGTCACTTATAACTCACCATACTGGGCTCCACAGACACGACAGACAAAACACTGAGGGCCATTGATTTGTACAAATCTCCGGGACATCCTGAGGGAACTGAGGCTGTAGAGAAAAGAAATCATCTCAGTTACGACGCAAATACAACTTAACAAACTAGTTAATCTTTTTCTGTAACACTATCAGCATTTGTGGGGTAGTATTTAGGCCCTTCACCATCACACACGCACAGGAGCCCCAAGTTTGATTCCAAAGCGGAGACAAATTTTTAAATTGGATATCTAAATCTTTCTACTGGAATACTGTTGTTGTATCTCTATCTATCAGCTCTGGTTGGCCTGACAGGCAGGGTAGGGAGCCTGTCCCCAATATGATCTTGTGCCAGTGGGGGCCTAAAAAAGGCTACGCAGATCTGTTGCGTAAATGTAGACAAGAGGACATGACCACCATAATAAAAAGGAGAAGATGGAGATGGATTGGACATGTCCAGAGAAGAGAACCAGACTCTATTGCGAAGACTGCCCTCCACTGAATACCCGAAGGACGTCACAAAAGGGGCAGACCCAAAGTGACCTGGAGACGCACAGTAGAGTCTGAAATGAAGTCCTGGAATCATTCGAGGGGAACGCAGACCAAGATGGCCCAAAACAGACAGAGCTGGAGATACTTTGCAGCTACCCTAAATGGGTAGTAAGTAAGTATAAAGTTTTATTTTTCTGTTGTAACACCTGTCCTGCAAATAAAGTTAGTGTCTATTTGATAGCCTCACAAAAAAACACAAAAGGAGAAAGCAATAAATGCCTTGCTTGGTTGGCTACATGATTCATAGTTGTGTGAGATTATTTAGTAAGGGAAAGCCGACGTTTGATGCACACCTTTGAGTGCCATACAACAACGGTACTACATCAAACAAAAGCTGACAATATATCAGAAGCAAAAGCCAAGTCGTAAGTCTAAAAAAAAATTTCTCAGCCACTATTATGCAAATGATCATTATAAATAGTCTTTGCAAAGTGTCATTTCAGAAGAAATTATATCATTTCTACATTACGCAAGATACAATCTAACTGAAAAGTAGCAACATTTCTTACGCATCTCTGTTCTTCAAAACATTCACTCTTTCACATTTGAATGTGAATGTTAACTGATAACTAATTAGCAAACTCAATAATACCTTTGTATGAACAAGTAAAAACATAAAACAAACCAAATGAAAAAGGGATACTAAATTATTGTCATACTTGTCCTGATGAGTCTTGCAAGGAAATCACATCCCATAGCTTGTAGAATCTTCACACGATCTGCATCAGTGAAGGAATTTGAATGTACACACTCTGCAATCTGCAATATATGAAGAAAAATGCAAGATATAAATATAGGCCACCTCTATTCTCACCCGGGATGAGAATAGTGCAGGCGAGTCTTTTGGCTATTCTCACCCGGTGCGCGTTCACCGTTATAGCCTAGATCTAGGCCAACAAATTTTGCGTTCACCCTAAACCACAGAATTCTACACTGCGATAACAGAAACATTGTAGAATTCTGTGCCGTGAACAAACGTTCCATTACAACTGTAGCCTAGCCTACTAAAAGCGTACAATTTTGTCTGTGGGCAGTGGAGAGAGAGAAAGATAGAGAGAGAGGAGTAGCGCGAGAACTTACGGTCAAAACAAAATGGCGACCCGCGTAGTTCGGCTCGATTCGAAAAGTTAAATAGCTGTAGCATCTTTGTAGACAACCAAATTAATTTACTTTTGTGTTTTAACATCATTTTTTAACTTTGTTTTGGTCAATTTGATCGTCCACACCGATAGACAGTATTCAGAAAGAGACAGAGAGAGAGAGATAGGGGAGGAGTAGATCTTGCGAGAACTTCCGGGCAAAAAAAAATGGCGACCCGCGTAGTTCGGCTCGATTCGAACAGTGAAATAGCCATAGCATCTTTGAAGACGATCAAATTAGCTTACTTTTGTGCTATAACGTAAATTTTTCTTGGCTTTTATCAATTGGATCATCCACACCGATAGACAGTATTCCAAAATGAGGAAAAGCAGGTCTTGTTTCGCACCGGGTGAGAATAGCCTACGCTGGCAATTCTCACCCGGGGTGAGAGGTAGATCGTTTTTCTATTCTCACCCCGGATGAGAATAGCCACTTCCATAAAAATATTAAAATATGACATTTAGACAAGTTCAGCTAAGAAGGAAAATATGAAGATTTCAAATATTCTCATCACAATCAAAGTAGTGTTCATGAAGATCTAAATCTAGATCTACATGATTCATTAACCACAAGAAAAAAAAGTTGATAATATCTACCTGCAAGGCAAAGTGCAATCTGACAATGCACTTTAAAAACGTAACTTATACTCAGGGGACATTGCCCATTTGAGTTGAGGAGAGAGAGAGAGAGAGAGAGAGAGAGAGAGAGAGAGAGAGGGAGAGAGAGAGAGAGAGAGAGAGAGAGGGAGAGCAACCAAACTCATCAACTGAACTGTAATACTTTAAATAGTTATATTTTGTAAAGATTCTAGATCTGAATAATCATCAATTCAAAAAACAGACTTTAAAATAAAGATCAAATTCTAATTCCATTTTTGTTAAATCACAGGAGTGGTAAATTAATTTACCTGTGGTTAGTAGTGTCATTGTTTACACTGGTTACAATACATAAATCGTTCGACATGACGCTTCGACTTCGTTTGAAAACTTACCTCCACTACAGCCATAAACTTATCATTATCGGACTTTGCAGACTGTAGAATTGACATACAGTCTTCTAGGACTATTTGTGACGATTCTTTTCGCTTTTGTTCTGCGTGTGCTGCATACATTTTGCATTCTAGTTTGCCGACAAACTTGATACAACTTTCTGTTTGTCACCAAGAAGCTCGTGTTGGAGCTCGTTTACGAAAGAGTGTAAAGAAAGTACATAGAAAATAAAAACTTGAAATGAAAATTTACCGACTTTCGAACTTTAATTCCACAGTCAGCTTCCGCTTGAGAGAGAAAGTGAAAGTGAAAACACTACGACTACGACACTGAACGTAGCAAAATTATATTCAACCTTCCAGTAGGAACAACGATGTCTTTGCGTTGCGATGGATGATTGACTCGAAGTTGAAATAATTGTAATTCTATGCCTGTGACTGATATAGATTCTAGATCTAGATCTAGAATCTAGATCTTATTATGGTTAATCTAAGGTCTAAAGTAGGAGTAGATCTAGGGTCTCGAGGCCGAGGCCGAGGAGGCGGTCGTGGACGTGGTCGTGGTCGTGGTCGTGGTCGTGGTCGACCTAAATCTGAAGTTACATCTAAGCCTAATTCCAAGAAAAATACCGAATCGGTTGTCAATGAAACTGGTGAGGAGGCTGTTACTGCTGTTGATGTTGTCACAGATGGGGGAAGAACGGAAGACGCTGGTGGCTGTTCAAAGGAAAAGCTGCAAAGTCAACAGCCCGGGCATCAAGTCGAGGCTGAGAAGAAAGTGCCGTCCAATACAGATGTCGATAATCAGCCGTTAATTGAAAAGGCCCTGGAGGAGGAAAATTGTAACGCCAGGAATGCATTGTGGAAGTAAGAGAACAATTTTAAAAAACCAGATCAGATCACAATTCATCCGTCTCACACATCATCTTAACAATTGCATCTAAACTAACTGAAAGATTGTTCTCTCTCGTGTCCCTAATTTTAAAGAACTCTAAAACTATGTACACACGCAGTGCTGCCCATCATCCATGACTATCAGTGCCGTCCTTAATGTTATTAAGTCTAAAGGTCTAATCTCGCCCCCACCCCCTCATTTTCCCAATTCGAAGCAGACCTTTTAAAAGGACAGGGTCAGTCAACTCCTTCTTTTCATTTCATAAAAACAAAATTTCAACCTTCCAATCTCTCTATTCTTTTCATCTCTATGAAACTAAAAATTTCATTGTACCTACCTCCTTTTAAAATATTAATTTTACCTTTTAAAGAGTACTTTTTATTTTTATCTCCTACAGGAAACCCATCAATGGGTTGGGTTGTTTTTTCACAGAGGAAACATTTAGAAGAGTCATGGGTCCAGAACCTTCTTTTGAGGACAAGTTCAAAGCGCAACTATTACGGGCAAATTCCATGAAGATTGAAGTGAAAAAGTCAAAGAAAAAAGACAGAGACAGGCCTGCCGTAATGACATCACTCGCCGATTGCAGAGAGACGGATTCGGGGCAAACTTCACCAAGTACTGAAGCTGAAGTAAGAGACACAGAATCTTCGATTCCTTTCAACGGAGTCCTCGGTAAAACAGTTGTCAGTGACACAGTTAAGTCAGGCAATGCTTGCGTTGAGAAAGAGCAGGATAAGCCAGAATCTGCAAAAGAAGGGTCTGTAACCTGTGCCACATTGGAGAAGCTTCCTGAGACTATACCTTCTTTGGCAACAATGACTCCTCAGCCAGCAGGCATGGGGAACCTTTCTGTCTCAGATGACAGGAGTTCCAGTGCCCCATCTGAGGAAAAAACCGTCCAGTCATCCCCAACTAGTGAAGAACAGCAGGTATGGTCTTTTGTTAAGCTGTAAATTATCGTCATCAAAATAATTAAAAATTTAGTTACACATTCAGATATTGAAATTTTGGACAGAAGCATGAGTAGACAAACCCAGAGATAAACTTGGACGCAAAAATGTGGAAAAAGTGAGTTTTATTGTTTGTGGGTGATACTATAAAGATAGTCAGTTAGTCTACTTACTGTTCCCAAACCTCAATCTTGCTCAAATCTTACCTCTAAGGTACACACTCATGGGATTTACAAGGATTTCTGCTGAATTCAGTCAAAAATCTCTATCCCTTCAAAATGCTTCTTTGGCCCCAACACTACATAATCTATGCTCAGATGTGGCTAAATCATCTTTACCCTCTTATCTGCCCTATTGCTGTTTTTAGTTTTAGTGGTGTATTCAACATCTGAAAATGAAATAAATAATGCCTATTTCAGAGAATCGAAACACTTTCTTACTTCATTGTTTTTGCTCCTCTTCAGGCTCCCACAAACGACAATTTGACAAATGCAACCACGGATATCTCAGAACACGCTGATCTTCAGCACCCAGATCCAGAATTGGCTGCCGAAAAATCAATGCTCCATCAGTCAGACTCGGACACAGAGACGTTGTGCCTTGTGATGCCGCCACTGTCCTCTGACGACGACGACGATGATAAAGATGCTGACGGGCAAACACCCACTTTTGATAGTGTTCTGTTTAAATCCACATCACTGAATGTGTCCAAAGATGACAGTACTGTAACTACTAATGTAAACAAGGCTGCAAGTGTTGATTTACCCAAGTCTCAAGATGTGTTGCAAAGTCAAGACAGTCAACAAGTTGTGAGAAGTAGTTATAATGTTACAGAACATCAAAATCAGAACTTGACTGGTAGTGAGATATTACCTGTTCCTGCAGTTGCAGCGGTTGTCAGTCAGTCCCAACCGCTGTATAATGATCCCTTGGTCAACGAAACTCAAAATCAAAGTATGCAAGCATCAAAGGATAACTGGAGGGCGGAAGACATTCCAATATTCTCTGTGAAACAGGAATCGCCTGTGAAAGAAACGGTTTCAAAGTTGTCTACCCCTGCATCATCGAGGCACAGACGGAACCAGATCTGGTTGGAAGAGACAGTGAAAGAGACACAGACCCCCAAAGTTGACAAAAAAGCCACGGATTCGAATCCAGGAGAGACAGAGGAAGCAAACAAGTAGGCACAAATGTCTTCTCTTATAGTAGTGGAAGGACAGGATTGCTCAAATATAAAGCAGTCTTAATGGAAAGATACTTGTTGGGCTTCATTCAATTGTTACATCTCATAATTTACAGTGTCTTGTCGTCTTTGAAACCCAACTACAATGAGTTTGATCTCGAATCATTTTGTCAGACAGATTTTGTTTTCTACAGTTTCGAAATGTTGTAGCTGTGGTTGTTGAGGGTTTTTCTCTTAGGGTTTAAACCCTAAAAACTAATTTTAAAAGTGTGTGCGCCTTGTTATGAGAATATTTGAAGTTCTTTACATTACTTCTTAGTAAAAGCCGTTCTTGTTTAGGTCTTTATTTAAAAATGACATTTTTGCTTAATTTCGCACTATCCTTAAACTTAAAATTTTCCCACACCTTTCCTGGCAGATCGCCCGCATTCAAGAAGTCGGATCTGACTAAATCAGAACACAATCAGTACTTGGAGCTCTTCAACAAGTTTGTGCGGCCGTACCTCGGCGGCAAGCAACCTCCAGCTTTCTCTCAACAGCAGCTGCGAGACCTGGAGGTCTTTGAGGTAAATCTCTTTCTTAGTGAGGAATGATGATGATGATGATTGAAATGTGGTAATTATGAAAATGTGAGCTGTTGGGTGTCCTAGCCATACCGTACCAGGGATGTCATAAGTTTACTTTCCCTCCACAACAGGTAACGTTCTCATTGCCCCCCATCCTCTCCCACCCCTCCCACCCTCTTTCCCCTCCTCTCACTGATGTGGTACTGTAGGTTTACATGTGGGATATTCAGTAATGTGTATTATAATTATGATAATCTTTCTATCTTTCTTTTCTTTCTTTCTTTCTTTCTTTCTTTCTTTCTTTCTTTCTTTCTTTCTTTCTTTCTTTCTTTCTTTCTTTCCTTTCTGTCTTTCTTTTCTTTCTTTCTTTCTGTCTTTCTTTTCTTTCTTTCTGTCTGTCTTTCTTTCTTTCTTTTCTTTCTTTCTGTCTTTCTTTCTTTCTTTTCTCAGACTTTACTCTTACAACAGGACCAAGTGCTGCATTTCAGTAGGGAGTCATTCCCCGCCCAATGGGGGAAAAAACCCCAACAGAAACTAAAATATTGCTCTATTGATTCTAAATAAAAAGCTGTTTCAGTTTTCATATTCTTTTACACTGTATTTTTGGTTGGTGATGTATTGTTGTTTTTTTCCACTTCAGAAACTCCAACAAAGAGTGCTTAAGGAGCAGGCAGAGTTCCAGGCCTATCTTCACCGGAACGCCAACACCTGTCCCAAAGCTTACACTTTCATCAGGTCTAGTGCCAAGCGATATGCTATGGTGGGTGAAGTTCAGCGCATCGTAGTTACTTTTCTTTATTATAGGAATTAAGTGTCGACGCGTTTTCTCAGCTTCTTTTTTCTTTAGCAGAGAGCTCAAATAAGTTCCCATAACTTCATTGGCCAGGCTGTTTCCTTCTACTTAGTCCTTAACGGAGAACACAGCATGATAACCTGTTAAACACTCAAAATCAAGCATGGGCAAGTGTGTCCATAGGGAAGGGGGGGCTGCATTTATGCATTTTCCAACTCTGAATGTCGTTCAGGCCAAACTCTTAGCAAACTAAATTAAAAATTCAACCTTTTTAACTTCTTTTTTAAATGGTTTCTCTTGGGTTTTTTTTTTCAAATTGTATTTTGTTTGATGATGATGTCCAGTATATCTGTTGAAGAGTGCAAGTGTTTGGATTTAAGTCTCCACTTCATGTACAATTTTAGAATCCAATGCTGGTTGGGTTTTTTTGGCACCATTTCAGAATCGGTGTCAGTCGTACCGCCTCAACAGGAAGTATGTTTATCAATTTGCACCGAAAGAGCAGGAAAAGGTGGAGATGTTCAGCGAGAGAAAGGAGACCGCAGAACTAAAATTTATCTTCACTCTTCTGAAAGTGGTAAGCAAGAAATGATATTATGCGTTACGTGTGATGAAGGTAATCCTAGATTGCATTTACCGTTCTGTAGTTTTCGGTTGTTCGCTCTTTGTTCTTCTGATAGGACAGCAATTTTCTTTAACACAACAGAATACCAACCAGTCCTTGGTGTCTTCATGGTTCTCAAATAATTATAAATTAACTTTTGTTTTACAACTCCTCATGAGCTAATGCTAATGTCTCTTGTGCACATTCTGATTTTTCAGGTGGACTATTGTGTGGATGGCCCTGTTTCAAATTCCCTTTGTGGATTTAATAAATTTGAGTTGTTTGAGGATTCGACTCTTAAGTCCCACCTCTTAAATACCCACATACATACAGTACTATACTTGTTGTAATATGGTGGTGTCCACTTTGCAGATGCTGGCAAGAACAGAATGAGTGCCCACTTCTCAAAGCTTTTGTTTTTAAATATTAGTAAGAGGTTTCTATCTCTTGCAAAACTATCAAGTCATGGTAAGAGCGGAAGATTAGATAAGTTACGAGAGAGTAACATGCAAAGGAAAGAAGGACGAGAGATAATGATGATAGATGTTGTTGGATAGGAAAGGAGGTGCAAACCACACCAGAGTACTCATCAATCACTCACTCACAACTTATAGTGTTGCTTCGTTCTCACAGGGACTTCCTCCAAAGGTGACGTTGCCCGATCTACAGGAGGGTACAAAGCCGTTCCCGATTCAGCACGATGACGAGAGACTGGACCACCGCTTCCCCAGACGTAAAGGCATCAACGCGAGAGGCTGTATCAATCATGAGGTGAGAGAACAATGTTAAAGGAGGGGGGAGATGATTTCATGGAGTCTGCAATAGCTTGGGGTTGTTTCTGTCTGTCTTGTTTATTTTATTCACAGAATGACTTTTATGTTGTCAAGTTACCCCTTTTCAGTTTCCAGCTCACAGAAACGAACAAGTCAAATAATGTGACTCGGTTGGAATTAGACAATTTCAACATTTTTATCATTAGATCTATGTCATCAGAAGTAATAATCCTTTTGAGACCCTGCAGTTCTTTCTGAACTGTTTTGTTGAATGACTTTACTGCATGTCTTTCAAGCTTTTGCTGATCACATGATGAGCTTAGGGAATAAAGGAGCCTTCAGGACTGGGTCTGTGTATGCCATTTGGCCGATTCTTTTTCAATTGAGTCATCCGACATATTGTGACTTTTATCATATTCTTTTCTTACACTCCCTTTTTCCCTCTCCCTAAAGCAATTCCTCCAGTGATATTAAGATTGTCAAAAATAATGAAAATTTTGAAAGGCAAAATTAGTTCTGATTCTGACTGTTCCTTGGTGTCACATGACCGTACTTTTCTGATCTTGTAATTCCCTGTGATTGGTGTATGTCATTACCAGGTTGTCAGCAAAGACCACAACGCAGAGCGCCTGGCCAACAAGTACGATGCCGACGTGGTCATGTCGTCAAGCGCCGTCAAGTGCCTGGTGGACAATCATGGGCCGGACTTTACCCGCTGTTGGTGCATCCCGTTCTCTGTGGTCATGCACGAGTGGGAAGATGACGGTGAGTTGTGAGGTCCTTGGTTCACACGGCTGTTTGTGACGCATCGTGGTAAAATCAGGCTCTCGTCAAAATAATGAAATCAAAGAAACAGGCATTTTTGCGCTGGTCTGGAAATTTTTTCAAATTTTTGGTTTTTGGCTCAACACCTTTTTTTTTATCTCCTTTTAAAAAAACATTTTTGGGTTAACATTCTGAAAAACGTGAATTAAAGGCACGCAAATGTAAACATTTAAATTACCAAGGACTCTCAAACTATGTGAGTCGCTAAACTTTTGTGGCCATTTACTCGTAATTTTACCAATGAAACCAGGCGACCCCAATCTCCCTCAATCGCAAGTATCTTGATTTCTATTCAAGATAGATGTGCATTTTTTTCATTGAGAGTAAAACAAATGAATATGCTTCCAGATGATACAAATAACTTCACTTGCCCAAAAATTGACGAGTGCCTGATTCCCTCATGACACATTTATGTACTGTGGGTGTCTTAACCCTACAAGTGTCGTTTATAATAATAAATAATAAATAGCATTCGTATAGCGCACATCCCCGCTCGACAGCAAGCTCTCTGCGCGTTACGCTATATTATCACCCCAGCAGGCCATAGAACACTCGGGAAAATTCTCAACTTCTCAGGGAGCATACGGTGCAAGCAGCTGATTAAGCACTCAAAACAAGATCTTTCACTGTCTATAGCTGGGTACCCATTCCCACCTGGGTGAAGTGAGGAAAATTTGTGTAAAGTTCCTTTCCCAAGGACACAACGTCGGGCCCCTGACATCATTAACAAATAGTCTGTGGTGTCATTATATTATATTTCACCACATAATATTCATTGGGAACTACTTGAGAACAGGCAAACCAAGCTGGTAAAGGGCTCAAACCTCTACATTTTCTGAAAGTAAGACGAAAAATATACACAAAGATTATATATTTGTTCGATTCGATTACATAATTTATATTGACATTGGCTTAGACGTACTAATGACCCAGAATATTTTTTTTATTGACCGATCAAATCTCAGTGACAGCTCAGAACAAAACTAAAAGCTGACTCAATAAACCGACAACTCTTGGAGGGTAAAATTTGACCCTATTTGTATGTGACTTGCATGCTATACCTGTTCCTCTGGGTTTTTGTTTTTTGTCTATTTTAGATATTTCAGCATTGCAGGAAGTAATCTATGTTCCAAACTGAACTCACTGTATGCAAGGGGCATTCCCATGATTTTGCAGCAGTATTTTGAAATGTACTGTAAATTTTTGGGTGATGGGGAAAAAATATTTCTTGGCCCTGACAAACAGGTTTGAAGCAGCTCACTTTCAAAATGTAAATCACATTCATCAGAAAATTTTGATGAGTAACACAATGTTGTTGTTGTTGTTATCGATCCAGCAACATCTGGGCTCTCGCCTTTCTGTCCAATGCCATGTAGTGATAAGTGCAGGTTTGCTGCAGTTGCTGTAATGTTCCGTAGAGTGTGTTGTCGAAGTTAGGTCTCGGAAGGAGAAGTGTAGCTCTGATGTCATTTAGGGCTGTACAGTGGAAAAAATGTAACACAATAACATCTAGAACAGTATTTACTGGACAGGACAAGACAAATGCTACCAGTTTACATCTGGGAACTTTGTGAGAAATGAATAAAACTTTCATTTATTACATCAATGTAGATGATTGGTACTGTCTCGGTATGATGATTGTCTGTTTTCTGAGGTTAGGCATGGAATTATTAACTAAGTTGTTTTCCGCCTTTAAAATTGTTGACTTAAAATTGAAATGTGTAGACTTACTGGTTGGTGTTCTTGTTTGCGAAACAAGTGTTTGTCTTCTATTTTGGGTCCAAGCCAAAATGGGCCAATATTCATGCTAGTCGAACTGACACAACTAATTCTGTTTCCCTTTGACCTGATGTCTTTTGTAATGGTTGAACATTTGTTCCTTTCAGAACCGCCGACGAAAGTTGTCTATTTTGACAAACCTGTGTCGGAGGACAACTTACCCACAAGGGAGATGAACAGTTTATTCCACAAGTACTCTTTCCGCACAAGTATTTCACAGCCGAGGCGGAATAAAAACACCAAGAAGGTGTCGGGTCCCTCGAGTCTCCCCTCCCACAACTTCCTGTCTGCTGTGGACGACGCGTTTGACATATTTTCTACCGAGGGAGATGATTTGGAGACGTTTGGGACGGGTTACGCCCCTTCGAGCACAAATGTTAAGAAGTCAGATAATGATAGTGATACAACAAAGTGTAAAGATTCATCGAAGGGTTTGAGGCAGTCCAAGTTGGAATCGAACCCAGGGGTTTCAGGGGCTAGGGCTTGTAAAAAACCTGATCCCGATGTGCCACCTGAAAAGTCAGAGCCTTTCGAGAAAGGAGACATTGGTCAAAGAACAGCTACAAGCAAGAGTGAGGCAAGTGCATCAAAAGTTGGCAAGGAAGTGCACGGAGGGGAAAGTAGTACGGATCTCGCAGATTGCAATTCATCTCCTGCCAGTACTTCAGACAGGGTCGTTACTCGTCGATCTTTCAGAAAGAGGCAAGCCCCCGCCCACCTGTCCAATTCTGACTTTACTCCTGTAGGTGGTTCACCTCCAAGCTCTGATGTTTCGGAGAGAGAGATCCAAAATGTGAAGAAAACGAGGCTGCAGAGTAGTAGAGCTGAGGTAGAGGTAGAGGGGCCGGTAGTGGCAGATGTCGGCAGTCAGTCAAGGTCAAATAGTGAACTCTCTACGCCTCTAGTGTCAGATTCTGTGGCCATTTCTCCAGGCAGGCATCTGCGCTCTATGTCTAAACAACAGTTGGCGGACACAGCTGTTGACAACGAGAAAGCTGAGGGTAATAAAGATGTGGCAAAAGACAGGAATGGAACCGAACCCTCGCCTTGCAGTGCTGTTGACCCAACCCTCTCAACTGAACCACCAGCTAGTCATAGTTCCAGCCAGGAGGATGCGACCCCGTCAGGTTTGAACCTCCCCAGGAGACGCGGTCGGCCTCCTAAAAGAAAGATTGTACCTGTAGATAGTGAGAAGCCTGTGTGTGTGGAGACCAGTGGCTCTAAAGAACCAAAACTGACCTCGACAGTGGATTCATCTGATGCGCCCCTCGGAAATACTTCACAGGTAGTTGCTTTAGACCATCAGGACTCGGAAAATGAGATGTTGGTCATCGACATGTCTGTCGGGGACATGCCTGATGCTCCTGCCTCACCCTCTGTAGCGTCCAATCCGGCAAGTCCACCCATGCAGGATCCGTCAGTTTCCCCGCTCAGAACTCTGGAGATCCCCACATCTCCGGTGATGGATGCGGGGAGTAGGGGAGGTGACTCAGATGTCCCTGTCATTCCTCTCAGTCAAACGTCGCCACCAGACAAGTTTTCATTGAAAAAAGTTATCCCGGATAAGGTTTTGCCGTTGGGAGTTTCATCGAGAAAAGTCTGGCTTCCTCCAACTCAAGACAGAGTGAGGAAGAACCTGTTATCTGATACTAACAGCAGAGAACAAGGTATGTCATGGTATTTCTGTGGTCATGATCCAAATATTGTTATTACATTTTTAATCTTGATTTACTACTTGCTTAGTTGGAGAATAGGTATCATTGCAGGCAGTACAATAATGCTATAGCTGCTCCTCCCTCCTGTCAAGGGTCTATGAAAGGGTCTTGCTGATTGTGCCAGTTGTCAGCTGGTTGTATATCGTGATACCCCTGATTTGGCACAATTAAGTGTTTTTTAAACAAAAAGAGTGCTCAACATGAACCAATCGAGAGAGTAGGCTGGATTTAGAAAAAAATTACTCAACAAGAGACCATCCTCAATCATTAAAATCAAGTAACAGAAAAATGCCACAATTACAATCCACATCTATATATAGCTGACTGTTTCAACTTCAACCTACCTGCCATGACAGACTTAGGCTGTGTAGGATATGATATTCAAGCAAAAAGATAGAGGTGCTAGATGAAAGTAAACTGTGTTCCCCGAGTGGGAGTTGAGATCATTTCTTTTCTTTGCAAGATGAAGAATCTAACCATTATATATCATCGACTCTGATAATCACGGTAGCAAATAATGTGGTGGCTTAACGGGCTGGTGCCTCTGTAAATGGGTTTTAATTGTGGGGTGAATCATGGTGCCTCTATAATTATATGAATGATGGTGGTCAATGATGGTTATTATTGTATTCGATGCTGTGGGAAGCCGTTGTCCTACAATTGTCTGTGTATATGAATATTATATGATCATGTTTTTTCCCTCCTCTGAAACCCCTCACAGACATCTTCATTCTTTTTTAAGGTTTTTCACTCTCTGAGTTTGTTGTACTGGTCAGGGCTTTCTCTGGGTGGGATACAGTTTCATTTTGGACTCTGAAAGTTGGTTTTGCACCCCCCCCCGCCCCCAACCAACCCTTTTTTGCTTTTGCTTTTCAAGTTGTTTGAGGACCTAATTGGGTGAAAGGTGGCTTCTCCACCAATTCCCTCCCTTTGCTGTTCATTACATTATTATTTGAATACCTAATTGAAAAATGTTTTTTCCACTGCCCCCCCCCCCCCCCCTCCTTTCCCTTCCCCACCTCTCCACTACCCTTCTGTTTGTGATGTTTGAAAATCTCTTCTATCCTCTGTTAAAAATGACCATTCTGTAATGTTATCCTTACAACACTTAGATTCTAGAAGATTCGGTATTATGTGATTGTCAGCTTTTTCCTCAATGGTTTGCATCTTCAGTGAATGTCATGTTCAGCCCCCTGGACTCGATCCTCGGACCCTCAAACTCAAATACAGAGGAGCCTGAGAGACCTAATGCTGCCAGAGGTGAGGAATTGTATTGTCTGCAGGTAGACAGGTAGCAGTTGCTTTTATACTTACTTCATTTCTTCCGATCAGAGATCTCAATGTGGGTGGTTAGCGGGTGCTCTGGTGTGGTTTGCTCCTTCTTTTCTACCAAACATCTCTCGTCCTTATCTCTCCTCCTTCTTTTTTGTGTTTGTTACTCTCTTGTAACACCTCTAACCTTCAGCACTTATATGACCTTATTGTGTTGCAAGTGCCATAAAACTCTTGCTAAAACTAAAACTAAAGGATCTCGATCTTGTGGTCCACTTGTCAACTGTGATTTAGTTTACCGTTTTGAAAAACGGTTTAGACCTATACTATAGCATAGTCATGCTGTCTCTCCCTTTGAATGTTGAACAGAAAACTTCTTTCATGTCAAATGACTACTGTTGACATCTCTGTGAGAGAAGGAGAGAGAGAGATGTGAGGTACTTTTGGTGAATGTAGGCATCCTTTGCAAAGGAGGAAGTGTGAGTTTGTGTGTGTGTATTTGTAATATTTGTCTAGGTTTGTTAGTACGAAGCTATGTATTTTGTGTGCGTGTCATTGAATCTTGAAACTTTTGTAAAGATATTGGGTTTTTTTTAATTTTTATTCCAATGAAGTTTATGAAGGAGCATTAAGTCTATTTTACTTATCATTACTTTCTAAAGCCTTTTTTCTTGTCTTTTTTTAATAGTAAATGTCGATGTCTATTTTACTTACTCAACTAACAATTCTTTAACAAATTAAATGCTCGACCTTCCTAGAGGATGGCAACAAGTACCTGGCCCCAGCGGTGGATGGTTTGAGTCTTGTATACAACCTGTTCTCTATCGGGGACTTGCGGGTGATTGTTCGCTCCAACGACCATGGGGTGCTGCGACGGCAAAAGCAGGTGAAAACTCTTACAATGGGACTTGTGGGTAAAGACATCGTAAAATTTGTTCTGATATCAGATTTCTAGTCCGATGGGAAATGATCCTTTAGTGGGTTTCAAAGTTCCATTGTGTGGGCTTCAAGATCATTTTTCAATTAAAAAAATAAAAATCTGATCAGAAGAGCGTGCTCATTTCCTCTATGTATGTGCCAAAGGTTGGGGTTCAAGCTGGAGTACTAGTGTAAGCACACTGGAAAATGTTTTATTCTCTTTAGAAGGCCTTGGGCTACACAAACAAACAAAAAAGTAAAACCAGCTAATTAACTTGAATTTTTAATGGGTTTTTTTTTCCATTCCAGTGTTACTTTTTGCAGTAAGATTTTACTTTACCTTCTCTATGTTTTGACATCTCTGGTGTAACAGTTATTGTCCTTGCCTTGCTTGTAAAACATGCATGTCGGATTCCCACTTGTGGAAGATAGTATTCGGAGTTTCTCTGTCTTTCTTTTGAGACGCATCCCCCTTTGTTAAGGTTGACAATGACAGACAGGCTCAAAGCAGTCACCTTTTTAATAATATATATTGCCTCAACTGAAGTTTAAAATGAAAAAACCAACGGTTGGGCCTGGGGGAGAAGGGAAACTTGAGATGGAAAAATAAAAACGTGACTGGGGCTGTAAGGTTTAGTCGTCGTTGGCATCATCATTCCTCTGTTGACTTCCTCAGTCCACGCATGTCTACATGGCCCCCAAGCTGGAGTACCAGTCGCAGCACGGCTATGAGCAGGTGACCTTGAGCGAGGCGTCGCGTCAGTGGGCGGCTTGCCTCGTCAGACCCGGAGCCAGCCTGCTCAGAGGTAGCGTTTGAGTTTTACATCTTTTACAACAGAGTATAGATCGTTTCCGATAAACCCTTTTTAGCCCTCACTATCACTTAACCGGTAGCGCATAAAACTGCCCGTATGCCTAGCCACAGGTACAGCACAGCAGAAAACTGATAAAGCGCCTTTTTTTCATTTTTAGCGCCAACATATTTAATTTGCTAAATCAAAAGTCTGATCAGTTACCGTACTTGTGTGAAAAAATGAAAGTGAAACTGTGACTGTTTAAAAGAAATAAATTAGACTTCAAATTTCTGAACAACGCTATTTTTAAATGGTTATCCTGACAAAAAGCTCCCGCTCTTTCTCGAAGCTGCTGTGAATTTTAAAACGGCGTTTTATCAGCTTACGGCAGAGCAGTGAGCGAGACCGTATCCCCAAACCGGCCCGTCTCGGACAAAATGTGCGCAGGGAACCATGTTTACTACTCGGGACGTTACTGATTATTTTGAAGATCTTCCTGAATTAGATGCTAGTAACGAAAAGGACTACCATGAGTAGGATATTGAATGTGATTCTGACAATCACATGAATGTTAGTAATATATCGCTCAGGAGCTCAAGCAGAAGGGCATTGTTACTGTCCCCGTAGTTTTATGCACCCCGCATAATTTAGCAAAATTTGATCATTTCTTGCATAATTTCTGATTATTTTCCTTTATCATTCTTTGTTAAAATTAACAGAATGGCATAATTTCACATTTTTCTCCTCAGTTTGCTTAATTTTATAATTTTTCTTGCATAAAACGACGGGGACAGAAATTGCAACATCACTAGGTGGTCAGGGCTTAAAGGGTTAATGGTTAGCTTCTTCCCTTTGCTTTCAAAAAAGATGTGTTAGATTGTTTCCCATGAGGGAATGATGTGTTTTCAAGAGTCCCTAATTAATGTTCTTGTAAAAAGTATTTTATCCATGGATAAGTCCCCAAGTAATGTTCTTGTGAAAAGTATCTTATCCATGGACTGATGGATATAGGTTCTCTATCACGTTTGGAATCTGGTTTGCAGTTGTGTATGAGAGAAAAGAGGGAACTTCTAGTTGGTCCTACCTCTTCATTACCTCTCTTTTCTTTGTGTGCATCTTTCCTGGCTAAGACCGTTATTATGTTGATGTGATCTTTCTTTTTTAACTCTGTCCCTATGTTTCTGGGTGGTTGGCTGGAAGGTACCACTGATAATACCTATGTCTTTTATTTCTCTAATTCCTTTCTATCTCTCTTGCTTTTTCAACTAAATGATGGTCCTTGTATCAATGTGCTTGGCGAACACTCTGGTGTGGTTTACTCCTTCTTTCCTATCCAACATCTATCATCCTCCTCATCTCTCCTCCTCCTTTTCTTTATATGGTATTCTCTTGTAACATCTCTAATCTTCAGCTTTTATATGTCCTAATTGTGTTGCAAGTGCTGTAAAACTCTAATGAAATTTAAATCTCACTATGCTTTTCATCACTCAAACTGGAGACTGTGTTTCTGTGTCCACAGCTCGGATCAATGCTTTCAGCTCAGAGATCCTGATGTTGGAGGAGCTCACAGCTGCCCAGATATTGCAGTCTACGGGGTCGCTGGTGTATGTGCTCATTGTAGTGTGTAGTGATGTCAAGAGTGTATGTGTCTCTGTGTGCTTTTTATGTGCGGTGTTCAGGATACTTGACTCATTGTAGTGTGTAGAGATGTCAGAGTGTATGTGTCTCTGTGTGCTTATTATGTGCGGTGGTGTATTTTATGTGTTCTGGATACTTGACTCATTGTAGTGTATGGTGATGTTTGCTAGCGCTCATATGACCTTATGCAGTTGCGAGCGCCGTAAAACCTTACTCTAAAACTAAAAAAAGTGTATGTGTCTCTGTGTGCTTATTATGTGTGGTGGTGTATTTTTTTTGCGTTTGTATGTGTCTAGCCTACTTTTGCTAATATGTGTGTGTGTGTTTATGTGTGTCTCTGTGCATTCATGCGTGTGTGTGTATGCGTGTATATGGAGAGCTCTTTTTATGAAGTGCTATTCTCTCTCTTTAGTCCTCATGGCTTTAGAGTGGGATTTTTCTATCTGTATAGATAATAGATATATATATATGAGGCAGCGTGGTGGAATCAGGCTCTCGTCAATTTTTGGGCATGTAGAGTTATTGGTATCATCTTAAAGCTTGTTCACTTGTCTTTATTTGGATGAAAAAAATATCCATTTATCTTGAATACAAGTCGAGATATTTGCGAATGAAAAAGATGGGGGTCACCTGTTTTCAGAGGTAAAATTTGTGAGAAAATGACCTCCAAAGAATAGTTATTTCCTTAATTTTAGAGTCTGCGGTAACTAAAAATTTACATTTTTTGTGCCTTTAATCAACATTTTAAAGAAAAACCCACGCAGAAATAAGTTCTTTAATGGGCATGAAAGATGTTGAGCCAAAAAACAAAAATTTGATAAAAACTCACAAACCTACAGAAAAATGCAAGTTCTTCACTTTGATTATTTTGACCAGAGCCTGATTCCACCACGCTGCCACACACATCATTGGTGTTTTCTCTGTAACATACTCAACACTGATTTTTCGAACAGTCTAGTGAAATATTTGTGAGACAGGAGAATATTTATTATCATGTATGTTATTTCTTTTTTTAAAAATTTTTAAAAACTTAAGATGGAATATGACCTATCGCTCTTCATTTTAGAATATCATCTCGAAGTAATAGATATGATCGAATAAGCTTTCAGATGGTTAGCCCTCTTAGTAATTGCTTTCTGCCCAAACAAAAGACAGTGGGTGGTTGGCGGGTGCTCTGGTGTGGTTTGCTTCTTCTTTCCTATCAAACATCTTATCGTCCTTATCTCCCCTCCTTCTTTTTTATGTTTGTTACTCTCTTGTAACACCTCTAATCTTCTGGCGCTCATATGACCTTATGCAGTTGCGAGCGCCGTAAAACCTCTACAGAAACAAAAGAAAAGACAGCACTATTAAAATTTTGATATTTCTGGTCTTTCTATCCTTCTCAGCATTCAGTTAACACGAGCCTTTGCAGTTCTTCAAGTTAATCTTTTTAGCTGCTGAGGCAAAAGTTTTATTTGATTGCCTCTTTTAGTATATATTTAATCAGTATCATGCCACAAATTTTTCACCTTTATTTTTCTAACATTTTCAGGCCCCAGAAAGCTTTCCACATAATACACAATGTGCTGGCCACAGCTACAGAGTAAGTTTTGAACATTCTGAAGTTATCATGGTCAGTTATTGTCTTATGATTGTTAATGGATTCAAATGAAATATTATGTCACATTGAGACAAAGTAAGCCGCCTGATATAGATTAAGATCAAGCTTTCTTTCTTTATTCAGTCAAAACCCTTTATACCACCAGCCCTGGGACAAGCATGTGTGGGGGCTCTCGTGGCTTAGAGGTTAAGGTGTTGGCCTCTCATTCAAAGGTCCTGGGTTCGAATCCGGATAGCGACCAAAAAATGTTCTTCTCTAAAATTGTCTCCTTTCACCTTCTTTCCTGCTCTCTAGCAATGTTCTGTTGTCTGCTTTCATTTCCACTTTCTTCCCCCACCCCCTCACCTCCTTTGCCCCCTCCTCTGGGCTCCTGACTCTTTCTGCAGCCTTTCTACTGTTACTCCTTGGCTCCTCCTTACTGCTGTCTTTCTGCCACACCCCTGATCTACTGGTAGGAAAGATCTACACCTAGCCTTCTCGGACAAGGGCGAAAAATCTCAGAGGGCCCGTGTGCAAGTTATGCACGTCAAAGATCCCTTGATAGTCTAAAATCGATAAGAGTAGGCTTCGGCCTCCACCCGTGCAAAAATCAAAATTTCCTACCAACTGAAAATATTAGGTGTGTCCCGCGCGCTCATATGACCTTATGCAGTTGCGAGCGCTGTAAAACACTTTACAAAAACAAAAACAAGCATGTGTTTGGCTATAGCATAGCGAGGATGGTGGATAGCGCCGGACTGCTTGGCGTTAAGGGAAATAATTATGCCATGACTAGATGAAGAAAATATTATGAGTTATTCCCCTTTACCTAAAAAGTTGATGAGGTGGCATTCAGGATTTGCACAAGTGGTGATCGCGAGATTGTTGTGTGTGTGAGATAAAGGGATTATTACTGTTGTGTGGCTGCGGAAAAAATCAAAGTGTTACTGTGACTACTTTTTAAATTATTTCAAATTTCAGAAGAACACTGTTTTTATATAATTGCACTAACGAAAAGCCTCCATCTCGAAACTGCTGTGAATTTTTTTTTAAAGGCGTTTTGTCAGCCTACAAGGCAGTGTGTCATGTGTCACTCTGTGTGTACCTCTTCTGTTCCCCTCCACAGACTGGAGTGTGTCATGTCTCACTCTGTGTGTACCTCTTCTGTTCCCCTCCACCAGTCTACAAGGCAGTGTGTCATGTGTCGCTCTGTGTGTACCTCTTCTGTTCCCCTCCACCAGCCCACAAGGCAGTGTGTCATGTGTCGCTCTGTGTGTACCTCTTCTGTTCCCCTCCACAAGGCAGTGTGTCATGTATCACTCTGTGTGTACCTCTTCTGTTCCCCTCCACAGACTGGAGTGTGTCATGTGTCACTCTGGGTGTACCTCTTCTGTTCCCCTCCACAAGGCAGTGTGTCATGTGTCACTCTGTGTGTACCTCTTCTGTTCCCCTCCACAGACTGAAGTGTGGCCGCTACCTGCTGTGTCACCGGCCCGGTCAAGATCACTGCACCGTCCATGCCAAGGGCTACAGGGCGAGGTGAGACACCTGACCTAGTTTGACACCCTGTCTCAAAGTTTTCTTATCGAAATCTTTAAGGGGTTTTTTTTTCCTTTAGACCGGAACACCAAAAGTTATGGTCAGCTCCATTTCTTTTTAAATATCTGGTCTCACAGAATAACCCTTCATGTGGATCCCAAAATTTCTTCTGATATCATGAGTGTTTCAGAATCTTCAGCGAACTTTGTCTATTCTGCTCTTTGTTTGAAGTCATTGTCCCATTTTGATATAAATGTTTTATTTTGCGAGAGGACTGCAATATTTTATTTTTGTTGAGATGACCTTTGAACTGGCTTTTCTAGATTTCAATTCTTGTGACTTGTGACTTCGATTACCTTCAGTGAGTTTCTTGAGCCAGCACTCAAATTTTAATATATATGTTCTTAAGCCTGAAGTTCCCATGACTTAAACTGTTGAATATTCTTATTTATCAAATCCTCCCAAAAACTATTGAAAGAAAAAAATAGTTAATGATAGTGAGAACTAACAGAAATGATAAACAAACTGCGTACTAAAAGTAAAAGGTACAAGGGCAAAAAATCTCGGAGGTCTCGTGTGCAAAATGTGCATGTTAAAGATCCCTTGGTGGTCCCAAATCGATAAGAGTAGGCTACGGCAGCCACTCTGGCAAAATTCAAAATTTCCTACCAACTGAAAATATTAGTGTGTCCCGTGCGCTCATATGACCGGATGCAGTTGCGAGCGCCGTAAAACACTTGAAAAAAAAAAGAAAGAAAAGGTAGTTTTATTCTTATAGGGATGGCCAAGGGTACCCAGAAAATTGTATTTTAATCTTATAATTATAACTGATTTTAACAAATTTTATACTTCCATTGTTAAATATTTTATTATTTTGCCGACAAATGAAACTCTTCTGTTGGGAAGCAGCGGTGAGTGGAGCAAGGCGGACATCTCTGAGGTGATCAGACGGAAGGACGACCCGGTTCCTTGGGTCCCCATCGACCCAACTGTCCTCCTCCCCTCTCACGTCCAGTACAGGAGAATCCCGGCAACTTTCCTGCCCAAAGGTCAGTGATAGAAAAGTTGTCTTAGCTTTTGCTTATGATGGATGATGAGTTTCTGTTGGGTCTTAGATTATAGACAATTAGTCAGACGTCTGATTTCTCTCAAAATTATTGCCCTAAATGTGACTTGGAATAAAATATTTTGCATTTACTCTGAGCCTTTTTTAAAAATAAATTTTGCTTTCCATTTTTTCTTTCTTTTTCTTGTATTGTTGATGGGCGTGGTGTAATAGATGGAGTATGTTAATACATTCTTGTAATTTTCAATTTGTATTAACTCACTTGTTTACTGTTTATTAATGTTTGTTTTTTTTTTTGGGTGGGTGGGTGCGTGCGTGTGTGTGCGCCCGCGTGAAGTGTGAGTGTGCGTTTGTGAATATTGTTGGTACATGCATTTATGTAAAGCGCCTAGAGCTGTGTTTAGACAAGAGTGGGCGTTACAGAAATGACCTATATTATTATTATTATTAAGCTTGAAGAGAATGGCCTCGGTTTAGACTCTATAAATATGACCTTTGTGCTGATTTTCAGCCGATATCTCCATTCATGGATTGCGAGAAGTAACTCATTTTGTCAGCTCCCCTCACATTTGATCCCTTCATCGAATAACAAGACATAATTTGTTTGTCTGAGAAAGTGTTGAAGTAAAGATGTATGCTGCTTCATTTGTTTGTTTTGTTTTAGGAGAGGTTTTACGGCGCTCGCAACTGCATAAGATCATATGAGCGCCAGAAGATTAGAGGTGTTACAAGAGAGTAACAAACATAAAAAAGAAGGAGGGGAGATAAGGACGACAGATGTTTGATAGGAAAGAAGAAGCAAACCACACCAGCGCACCCGCCAACCACCCACCCTCTTATGCTGCTTCTCTCGTTTCAGATGTGATACCAAAGAACAACAACCACCACAACACTAAGTCTGGTGATGGGGACACGAAGAAAGGGCCGCCTCAGCAGCATAGGAAAAAGAAGAACAAGGGTCAGAACAGACGGGGCCGAGGCCGGGGCCGGGGCGGGCAGTACTACAGGAGGTGATCACACGGGGGTGGGTT